AAGACCCTCTATGAGATGGATTGATTCGGTGACTGGGGTAATCGGGATGGGTGTGTCAGAGGCAGTGCGGTTGGCGCAGGATAGAGCAGGGTTTCGGGCTGTTGTGCTATGAGTCGAAAATGACTCGATGGCACATAACAACAAGAACATCATAACTGATGGCAAATCAATTCATCACTGTTGCAGGTGGGACTATAGAAGGGAGGAAAAGGTCATGATTGAGCTGTTAACATAACTGCAGAGTTAAAAAGTTACGATTGTATACCAATGAAGGAATTTTTCTTTTCAAAGAGAAGAGCGAACTGGGGTGGGGGTGGGGTGGGCGAGGAGAAAAGTGCAACAGTGAATGAATGGAAATCCAAAATCTCTGTAAATGTTCATTAAAGTTAATTTAAAAAAGGTAGTAAAATAAAAAAAAAGTTACGGATTGGTTCATATCTAGGTAGTGGTCAGGTGTGACTCATAACCTTTGTTCCTGCAACACTGTTGAGCTGGATGCTCAACTACTTTTAGATTAGATAACACTTGGCTGTTTTCTTGGAAGTCTGAAGATAAAACTGTGGCAGCCCGAATTTCTCTGGGATTTTACATTCAGATATATCTTTCCTGAGGGCAAATTGCTGTCCCCCGGGCTTGCCTGGACTTGTCTAAGCGTAGCCACATTACTGAAGTGACAGAAAGGACTCAGATGGTGTCTGAATTTATGTCAAGACTCAAAACGGAGTTAGGGCTCCACAAACCAAGTGCTTCAGAGTTTAAGCTCTAATGCAGGGATAGGCCAAGTTGAAACTTTCAAACTTAGAGGAAAGGAGAGGGAGAGAAAAGAGAAAGGCAGAGAGGGAATATATCAGATAATTGATTTAGGGTGTAGCCTGAAATCTGTCGTTATCCAGGACCACAGGAATCTGGAGAGATCTGCTTTCTGGCTTTCATTTACCTTAATTTTAGCAGTCTGCCTCTTTCCCTCTATTTATTCCTACTTGTTTATATTTTGTTAGCATTTACTGTTCACTGAGCTCTGGAAGTACAATCATCTGGGGGAGGGAGGGAGTTGAGCTGTTAACCCAAAGGCTCTGACAGTTTGAATCCACCAGTGGCTCTCAGAGAAAAAAAAAAAAAAAAAGGCAATCTCCGGTGTGAAATCTAATTTGAGGGCGTGGTCAGCTACAAGTTGGTCCTGACTTGACAATGAGGACTTGGGTGTGGGTGTGGGTGTGGGTGTTTCTGTTCTTTCAAGTTTCTCTAGCAGATACTTAAGGAATTTAATCAAAGGGAAATTAAAAGGAAAGAAATGAAATAGAAGGGAAGAAGAGGGAAAAAAATCAAACATTCTAATATTTCCCCAAACCCCCCAGAAAACCTCTCAAGATATATGTGGGTATGGGTTTCTTTCTGTTTCAAATGTCAATCTTCAGATTAATGCCATTTCGTGATTAAGTTTCCCCAGAAAGAGGCAAAATGGGGGGTGGGAGGAGAGATCTGTTTTACTGCTTTTTGGTGATGGTGAGAAACTGCTGGTTCATAGAACTGGGAGGACTGAGCAGAATGAGTGCTTTCTCAGGACCTTGGCACTTTATGATTCCACCAGAGTCCTCTCTTATCATCTCCCATTTTCTTTTCCCATTTTGCTACATAGCATCCCAGCTACAGTTTCTTCCTCTCGTTATCTTAATATGATCTTCAGGAAAGTACTTGATTGGCCTTGCTTGACTTTTCTTCAGTTCTTGAAGCTGGGGAATGGGGTTGGGGGCTTGAGGAAAGGGTGGGAGTAGGGAGGGAAAGGAGTGTTTGGAACTGGAACCAGCTCCCAGACATCGTTCCTGTACCATCTGTGGCAAGTATTCCAAGGGGGCTAGAGGGCTGGATAAACCTCATGACAACCTAGTCAATTTGCTACCAAGTTAAAGTTATTAAATGTAAATGATTAGTATCTCCCTGAGTTAACATTCTTTCTACCTTTTTTTGGTGTTAAAATCCTTTCTACACATCATGAAATGATCATAGTTGATGAAACAGTCCTTATTCTCAAAATAAAATAATAGCAGCCTTGTCCAGCTCAGTCAGTATGGAGCACTCCCACAGGCCTCCACGGGACTAGTTGTTATGTGCCATCAAGTTGCCTGTGACTCAAAGTGACCCTATGCACAATAGGTCTGAACCCTGCCCTGTCCTGAGTCTGATTTACTGCCTCTGACACACCTAACTCCATTATCTCAGTTAGCCAGGTTCTTCCCTTCTAGTACTGTCTCTCTACTCTTCTAAGCATGATGTCCTTCTCTAAGGACTGGTCTTTCCTGGGAACATGACCAAAGTATGTGAAAAATAGCTTCAAAATCCTTGCCTCTAAGGAGAAACTTGGTCTCACCCTCTCCGGGACAAATCTGTTCTCTTTGCAGTCCATGGAATGTTCAACATTCTTTTCCAGCATCACTAAAATAACCATTTGGATCAAGGTTGTTACTCTTAAAAAACAACCCAGCCAAACTCCAGATGTATGTGCACATGTATCATGTGTGGATTTCTACCATATCATCTGACATGTCAGATGCTTTTCAACTAGTTAGGACCCCAAGGTTTATATACAGGGGGTTATCAATTACCTTACAAGATGAGTCCTTCTGAATGTCAATCATTCCCAATGTATCGTGAGATTGGTGACTGAATTTATTTACCTGTAGCATTTTGGTGTGGATCCCTTGTCCCAGTTCATTGCCTCCATGTGTGACCAACACAGACCCATCAGTGTAGATGTGAACGAGAGCAGCTGCCTAGCAAAACAACCCAGAATGCACAGCTCAGCAAGTTGGCATTTAGTGAGGTTCAATGGGGGGAGAAGGGGACTAGTGAAACACCAGTGTTATGGGGGGCATCAGAGAGGCAGGCCCTCCTGCTGGGATTCTGAAGACAAATCCCCTGTTCTACACAAGTCACCTGTAAAGATCATTCCTCCTTAGGAATCTGGTTTTAGTAGGAGGCATTTTGCTCACGTATGGAGTTGCATTATTTCCAATTGTTTTAAAGTCTTCCTCTTGCTTAATTCTGTGACAGCTAAACTGGTTAATCCAAACTTTTAAGACACTGGACCAACTCTGCACTCAGGTGGGTATTATAAGATGGATGGGATGTGGTCCTGCCTCAAGCAGCTCACAATGTGGAGGGGGGATAGGCTGGACATCAAGTCGCTGTAGTGAAGAATGAGGCCATGCATGTGGCATAACGGGCTCTGGGAGACCAAGGAGGACAGATCTAACTTCCTCTATGGAATGCAGGGCAAAGTTTCCACAGAAATCTTGAGAGGAAAGTTATGAAAGGAGAAGTCTCGCCAGTGGGTGGAAGCTCCTCATTGTTTAAAGGAAAGTCTGACTTCTTGCTGGGATGGATGAGGACTTTTGAGATTTGAGGAGTCCCCAGATGGTGCTAAAATGTAAGGTCCTGTAAAGTTGTAGGTTTGAGTATATCCAGAGGTGCCTCAGAAGAAGGACCCAGAACTCCACCTCTGAAGAGCCAGCCATTGGAAATTGTGTGGAGCTCAGTTATGCTGTGACGTAGATGGGGCGGCCACGAGTCAGCTTTGATTCCCTACCAACGGACTTTTGGGACTTGGTCTCTGCCAACATGTCCAGCTTCATCCCTGCCACTTCCGGCTTTGTCTCTGAGTCCTGCTTCTCCACTGCTCCTTCCTGATCCTTGTTCTTCCATATGCTCTTCTCTCTTCCCGGCGTGTTGCTCCTTTTGACTTGTCTTCTCTGTCTGCAGATCCCACAGTCTCATTCTGTGAAAACTTCTTTGAATGCTTCTCCTCCCTACCTTGAAAGGATCAACTGTCCTGTCCCTTCTCCAGTTCTTTAGGAATTAGCTCTTTTCAGAGGGTCCCAAGGGCCCCTGGTTCTAGCCATTCTGCAGTCCTGTGAAGAACTCGGAGCAGATCTGAGTCACACAAAATAAATGTCTGCCAATAGAATGAATGGAAAAGTGATGTTTTTCCTTCCAGGAGGAGAAGGAATAATTAAGGCTTTAATCCTGTTTGTGGGGGAATGTCTGGAGGCCCAGCGATGGCTTGGAGGAAGTCTGGGAGCATCAGAGCTTGTAGGGCTAATGACAGCATTTACAGACTGTGGAGCTTTTGACTTGTTCTGAGGACAGCGCTGTTCTCACCCAGTGCAGGGGGCAGGTGTTCCGGCTGACTTGTGAGTCACCGTCTGACCTGGGATAACCTGTGTCAACTCCCAGCCTGGTGGTTCTTGGGTAAATCAAGTTAGAATTCTGTGGAAAACTGGAGAACTCTCATATAGATATTTAAAAATCACTGCATATTTTAAAGATGCTTTCTTAGGTGTAAGGAGCCCTGGTGGCATGATGGCCTTTTGGGGTGCGATGAGAAGCTGGCCCTTCTGGATGTGAATTATAGCAATGGCAGGGAGTAGGTAAGGTTTTGATATGGGACAGCCAGCTGGGGTCTCTTATAACCCAGCCATTGATTCAGCCCAGGAATGTGGACATGACATTTAACCTGCACCTCTTTCTAGAGTGGTTAGAGTGGACATGAATACAGAGACCTACCCTGCTCACCAGAATAGGGTTAGCTCTGAGGGTGCCTAGGGAAGCGGGGACGGCTGCCCTGGATAATGTACAAAATAAACCAGGAATCCTGCCAAGTGCTTTCTATTTGCTGTCTCATCTATCCTCATCAACTCTGACAGAGTCATTGTCATTCTTATTTTATAATTGAACAGAGGCTCAGAGCGGTTAAGCAACTTGATAATGTCAAACAGTGAGGAAATGGCACGGCCAAGCATTCCTCAGGTGCTTAGATTCCAGTTTGCATGAGACTTGAGACCAGGGCCTAATTCCCTAGGAAGGATTTTCTTTGATGGGGAAGTTTCTGTGATGTGATATGATGTATGTGATGTGTGATGTGTGTGTGTGTAACTGATAGTGATGTGTCAGAGGAAGAATACTTTCAATGGTGTTCACACAGGAAGATCTGATGCATTAAGATCTTTCCAGTTCCTGTTGTTTCTGCTTCTGATGGATAGTAATGAGAAAGAACAACCTCTCCCAGTTTTTAAAGCAGCTTTCCTGAATATGACCTATTGGGATGCTGGGAAGACTTCTGTACGAGCCTTTTCTGTTTAATGGACTCAGCTCTACACTACCCTCCCTGTCCCTTCTTGGTCTGTTATAGACTTGCTTATGAGTAGCAGATTGGAAGAGTTTTTGGATTCACTGTAAATGATACAGATTCCTGGAAGAGGAGGGTTTTTAAAATACATGCTGATCTGAATGAAATGAAATGACTTCTCTGTCAAGACTTTGTGGGTATAGGGCGGTATGCTGGAGGCATCTGGGTACTGATCAGGAAAGGGCCCAAGCCTACTCAAGGCAGGAGAGCCCTGAGTTCAGTCAGCACAGCACCATGGGCCTTGTGAGCCCGGCTCCCCTCTTGAATAAACAGTCCTTGGGCACCTATATTCCACCTTGTATGCTCACGTCTCATACTTCCTAATGTTATTTTCTTCCACTGAGAGTTTTTCTACTTCATAATGTAAAAATGGTTTGCAGATGGAGGGCTTTGCTGAAAAAGTCAGTTTGTTTCTGCCAGCAACTTGGAGGGTGGTACTTAATGCCAGGGAAATGTCATATTTTCCTACATTTAACACAAAATCTGATAGAGTCAGGAGTGCCTCTGACATGGGAGTTACTTACTATGGATAGTTTCCTAATAATGCAGAGAAACAGAATCTTACCTGATGGTAGCTTGTTGCGGCAAAGCCAACTGAAAACTTCATAGGGACAATAGCAATGCCTTTCTTCTTCCAATAATTCTTCTTATTGAACTCTTCCACCTGCAGCCTTCTGCTGTGGAAGGAAGACTGGACCAGACATTCATTCCAGCATCTGATCAGATTCTCCGGGCTGAATGCTTGTTTGTAGATGGTCTTATCAACTGTCTTGTACATGTTTTTCTCCCTAATCTAAAATAGATGGGAAATTTAGTCAATAGACATGTTGATGTTGTGTACTGTCAAGTTGAAACAAAAATGACTCTCTGGTGGGTTTTCAGAGGCAGTTAACTGCACAGGAGGAGACTGCCCATTATTCTCCCATGGAGTAACTGGTGGCCTCGAACCACAGGCCTTTGGGACTGCAGCACAGCTTGTTGCCACTGGGCTACCAGAGCCTACTGAATAAGTATGACTGGCATATAAATATATGAAAAATTGACTGAAAAGATATATTTGAAAATGCTCCCATTAAAGTATAGACTTTGGTGGATGAGGGGTGGGTGAAGGTTGTATAGGAAGACAAGTAAGGTCTGGTTCTTTATCTTGGATCAAAAAAAATAATAGGATCTATTTCTCATCAGTTTATTCATGCACCAATCAGGGTCTATCCCCACCAAAAGTGAATGGTGATGAGTAGTGACTGATCTGTGAGGTACACATGGTAAGATGGAGTAGCCTTGGCTGGGAGAAGAATTTTCTTTTCCCATGAAGTTCAAGGACTGCAGTAGAGTTGGCAGCTAGCTCATGTCTATACTCAAGCAATTTCTTGTCATGATGGAAAGTTTGTGCCAGAAGAAGACCCTCTGAAGGTTTTATCTTGGGTAAGATCTCCTGGAAGGTGCACGTTATATACTGTACTAGACCAGAAAGAGGCTGCTGATGGTTACTACAGCGTCGTTTTAATAGTAAAACAGTGGGCCACAGCTCGAGTATATATTGACAGAGAAGTGGTTGAGTAAATAGCAATACATTTGCATTATATAACACGAGTCACTTATGAAAATGAATGAAGTGGATCTTTCCATCATTGTTAGGTCCCATCAATTCAGTTTTGCCTCACACCACCCCTATGTACCACACAATGAAACACCGCCTGGCCCTGCACCACCCGCACAGTCCTTGCCAGCTTTGAGCCCCCTGCTGCAGCCACTGTACCAGTTCTTCTTGTTGAACGTCTTTTTCATTTTTGATAACTTTCGACTTTTCCAAGCACGATGTTCTTCTCCAGAGACTGATGCCAAAGCATATGAGACAAAGATCTACAGACAAAGATTCTACAGACTTAGGAAGATGGTCATGCTATATTGTCACGTAGAAAAGTCGAGGGGGAAAAAAAAAGAAGCCATATGTTTAATATGCTTGTTTTGGTCAATAACTGTGGGTGAGCACATGTATTTATGTCAATGCTTAGAGGAATGTAAATGAGTGGATAAGCAAGCAACTTTTTGGTGCTATTTTTATGTCGTATGTTCATTTTGTGTCAACTTGGCTTAACTCTGAGGCACAGCTGTTTGGTCAAACACTGGTGTTGGTGATACTGTGAGGGTACTTTGTAGATGAGGTTATCATTTACAGTCAGCTGATTTTCAGTAAAGGAGATTACCTTTGATAATGGAGTTGAAGTGGTTAAGAGTAAAATATAATGTTTCCTGTGGGAGAAGGGGATCTGTCTCAAAACTGTAGCATCAAATTCTGTTTTAGTTTCCATCCTGCTGGGTTTCAGACTTGTCAGGTTTTGCAATCGTGTGAGTCAACTGCTTAAGTTAGGGTTCTTTATAGGTATATATCCCGATTGCACCTACTTAGCTAGAATTCTGTTATAGAGACTTTTCATTTCAATTTGTTCAGTATTGTTTGAATTGTAAAAAGTATCTACTTTTACCCAAAAAAGAAAAAGAAACATTTGCTTAAGGAGGCATCCCTGGGTGATACAGATGACTAAACAATTGACTGCTAATTAAAAAGTTGTAGGTTTGAGTCTACCCAGATATGTGTAGGAAGAAAGTGCTGGTTATATACAAAGGGGATAGGAATCATTCAATGAAAACCCTACCAGTCCCACTCTGACACCAATAGGATCATCATGAGTCAGTGACAACTCCGTAATAATGATGTTTGAGGGGAGCTCTGGTGGCCTAGTGGCAAGAAGCTGCACTGCAATCCCAGAGGAACACGGTTCGAATCCACCAGATGTTCTGCCAGAGAAGGAGGCGCAATATCCTCCTGTACCAGTCAGATCTGATTTGACGGTACACGCACACAAAATAATAAAAAATTTAAAAAAAAATAATGATGTTTGTTTAAGGAGAAAGGTAACAAGATGAGGAAGGTGCATTCTTTTAGATGACATTTTATTTGGAATTCTGAATTGTGGCTAATTTGTGTGGTTCTTCCAGTGTGTTTCTCCAGACCAGAATACCTGATCCCCTATCCGCTTTGATTCTTCAGCCACCTTGGTTCTGACTCTGCTACACCCTTACCTTTTCTGGAGGGAGGCCACATTTAGCTGCCACAGCTGTGATGCAAGATTCTGTTACCAGGGTTCCTTGGGGGAAGCCAAACCCACGGAAGGCTGTGTTGGATGGTAAATTGGTCAGGCATGCACGTCCCCGGAACCGGAGATTGCGAATTTTATATGCATTTTCCATTTTTAAGATGAGATATTCTGTTACCTAAAGTAAAAAAGAGATGTTCACATATATTGGACAAGTCTTTCCATCTTTTCTCTAAAAGCCAGGAATAGGATTGCACTGCTTGGGGAGGTTGCTGAATGCTTGAAGCGACATGCTGCTCAGAGATTCATCTTGCCAATTAGCATCCTACTTATGAGCGAGCGAGGTTTCTGAAGCACATACCATCTCTGAGTCATCCAGCGTGCAGCCTCCGTTAATGTAGCACTCAATGTCCAGAGCTTTGATGCGCCCGCTGTTCATGAAGCCCACCTGTCACCAAACAATAGACAGTTGACTGCTATGTTTATGATTTACATGCCAAGTGTGAGCCGTAGCCCAGCTCAGGATTGAAAGCAGGCTCTGAAAGGGTGGATAGAGAATGAACACTGTATGGAACAGAGGAGGGAGAAAACTGTTTAAAAGGAATTCATGATTAGGCATTATATGTAAGATAATGGTTCAGAATAAGAGGTTTCTTGCAAAGAGGACTGAGGGAGGGGGAAGGAAAGGGGGAGGGGGAGAGAGATAAAAAGGAGGGAAAGGGGAGGGGGATGGAGGGAGGAAAAAGGGGAGAGAGGGGAAGGGAGAGGGAAAGAGGGAGGGAAGAAATTGTACAATAATGAATGAGTATTTTTTTTAAAAAGAAAGTTAACTAGGGGGAAGGGAGGCAGAGGGAGGAAAATGTGCAACAATAAATGAATGAAAATCCAATTTTTTGGTAAACTTTTGTTAAAATCATAATTAAAAGAAAAAAATTTAAAAAACAAAAAAGAGAAAGTAGGCCCAGTGCCCTGCCACTCCGTGTGGACCACGCCTGGCCTGTGTTCAGGGCGTGCCTCGCAGACACCCCTTCTGACCCAACGCGCAGGAGCTCTTTCCTCTCAAGATGTAATTTTCTAGCTTTACGGCCAGTGTGGAATTCTCAAGCCCTTGCTTGTCTCCTGGGATGTAATTGCCATCCTTTCTTCCTTAATCTTGGCAGATTCGCCTTCATTTCCCCCCCCTCTCTTCTAATTTCATCTGTGGTTTCTTCTGGAAAAATGTCTGGGACTCGAGAGTGTACTGGAATGAACCCCAGAGTATCTTGTTAGGAAAAAGTCTCTGTCTGACGTAGAGGTCTGGGAATGGACATGCATGAGCGGCCCTGCTCATTTTACTGAGATGGAGGGATTGAAACCATCTAGATGCATAGATAGATAGATAATGTGTGTATAATTAAAAAGATATATATATGAAATTAAAAAGATACTATATTATATATTTATAGATTATATTTATTACATATTATATTTTAATTCATAATTAGATCTTATATTTTTATATTATATTTATATATTCTATATAAAATGTACTACATATACCAAATGAAAAAAAAAATATAAATGGAAGGAGGAGTGGCATCCAATTCCTAAACAACATGCCTCTGGAAACTCTATGAACTTTGATAAATATTGATAATTGTAGGGGGGGCTTTATGCCTATTGTTCATAGGATTTCTATGAGTTGAAGGCAATTAACAACATATATATAAAATGGAAAAATATGGTGAGCTCTGGTGGCCTAGTGGCAAGAAGCTGCACTGCAATCCTAGAAGTACATGGTTCGAATCCACCAGATGCTCTGCTGGAGAAGGAGGAAAAATCTCCTCCTGTACCAGTCAGATCTGACTTGATGGTACACGCACACAAAACAATAAAAAGAAAATAAAAAAATTTTTTTTAAATGGAAAAAATATATAAAATTTTTAAAAAAGAGCACATCTCCTAATATCTTCATCTCTGGTGGCTTAGTGGGTAAGGAATTGCTCTGCCAATTCAAAGGCAGGTGGTTTGGATCCACCAGGGTCTTTGAGGGAGAAAGATGAGCAATTTCCTCCAATGTGACATACAGCCTCCAAAAAACCACTGGAGGCTCAGCTATGAATTGGTTCTGACTCCATAGTACATAACAACAAGATTATTTAGTTATAAACTGGAGGGTGAGAGGGGCTGGGGAGAAAAAAAAAAGACAAGACATCATTCAGAATGATTTTGGGACACACATAAATGAGCTAATTTGGTTGTTACCATTTTGGAATAATTTAGGGCAGCTTTTGCTTTTATGATGGTGCCACCCTTTTTCTGCTCTTTTCACCCCATTTCATCTGTACAATTCAGATTGAAAAGGAAAATTCCTATTCACTTTTTTCAGTTCTAGGTGTCTCTGGTTGGCTGGGGTCAATAGTTGAGTTCTTGAATTTTGAGGTTTGTGACTACCCAATAGAAGTTGGCCCAACTACTTGGAAAAGTCAGCCATTGAAAATACTCTGGAGTGGAGTTCTACCGGGACATATGTCAACTGGAATTAACATACTAATTATTATATTTCTACCAAAAAGGCTGCCCCAGACCTTTTCACCTTCCTAAAAACAAGGTTAAATCTAGAGAAACCACATTACCTTTGGATAGTAAATCACAGAGCCACTAGGAAATGTAGAAAAATCCACACATTCAGAACTTAAGGTAGTTTTGGAAAGTAAGAGGGTCAAGATTATCTCTGACTTTTCTTGAAGAAAGATTTTATTGAGTAAAATAGTCACATAAATAAGGTAAGACAATGATGAAATTACTTAATATAAACATCTTGTGAATTTTGAAGAATCTGTTTAATTTTGTACATTAAAACTTATGATACTAATTTACAAATCATCCTTAATAACCAAAAATATTTCATTAGGTAGGCTGAGCAAGGAAACACTTCATGGTTCAAAAGGGTGTGTGTCAAGGTTGTGTCCTATCTCCATATCTTCAATATGTATGTGGAACAGATTATCCAGGAGACTGGCCTCTAGAGGAGAAATGGGGCATCAGGATGGGAGGAAGATTCATCAACAATCTGTGCTATGCAGATGACACAACCTTGCTTGCTGAAACTGAGTAGAACCTGAAATGCTTTCTGCAGAAAGTTGAGGACTGTAGCCTTCAATATGAATTGAAGCTCAACATCAAGAAAACAGAGATTCTCATCACTAGGCTGATTGGCAGCATCATGATAGATGGTAAAGAGACTGAGATTGTTGACAGCTTCAGTTTGCTTGGCTCTTGGAAATTAAAAGACCAATTGCTTTGGGAAAGTCTCCTGTCAGAGACCTCTTCAAACTACTGAAAAGCAATGATGTCAGTCTGGAGATTAAGGTGAACCTGATACGGCCATGGTCTTTGCAATTTCTTGCTATGTATCAGAGAGCTGGATAATGAGTAGGGATAATAGAAAGAGAGTCGATGCCTTTGAGCTGTGGTGCTGGAGAAGAGTGTTGAATATAACATGGACTTCTAGGAGAACAAATAAGTTCATCCTGAAGAGGGTGAAGCCAGGCTGCTCCTTGGAGGTAAGGATTCCGAAGCTTCATCTGACATACTTTGGACATGTCCTTGGAAAGGGACGTCATGCTTGGGAGGTTGGAGGGACAGAGCAGGAGAGGAAGACCCTCGATGAGAGGTAATAGAGGCCACAAAAGAACTGAGTAATCTAAGGCAGTGACAAAATCAACCAGGAAATGTAGCTTTGTATATGCTGTGTATGCCAGAAGCCATTCTCCCTTAAAACATTCCATTGTTGATAAGAGCTCAATCACACCTTTCTAAGAAGATGGCGCCCAAAGCCAAGAAGGAAGCCCCTGCCCCTCCCAAAACTGAAGCCAAAGCAAAGGCATTAAAGGACAAGAAGGCAGTCCTGAAGGGCGTCCACAGCCAAAAAAAAAAAAAAAGAAGATCCGCAGGTCACCCAAGTTCTGGCGGCCTAAGACCCTGAGACTCCGACGGCAGCCCAAATACCCCCGGAAGAGCGCCCCATCATCAGATTTCCCCTGACCACTGAGTCAGCTATCTATGAAGAAGATAGAAGATAACAATACACTTGTGTTCATTGTGGATGTCAAGGCCAATAAGCACCAAATTAAACAAGCTGTCAAGAAGCTCTATGACATTGATGTGGCTAAGGTCAACACTTTGATTAGGCCTAATGGAGAGAAGAAGGCCTATGTTCGACTTACTCCTGATTATGATGCTTTGGATGTTGCCAACAAAATTGGGATCATCTAAACTGAGTCCAGCTGGCTAATTCTAAACATAATTTTTTCTCACCAAATAAAAAAAAAAAAGCTCAATCACAAGTTTGCAAAGTAGTATACTTCCACTTTAGTGGAAGCTGTGAGAACTGGGACTTGATGGGACTGCCTTGTTTTTCAGTCTGACGAGTTTTCTGCTGTTGGCAGGGTGCAGTTTTACCACTTTTCTCTTTAGTCATCACTTACTGGCTGTTGTTGAGTTGGAACTCACATATGGCTGATCGTCCATTGGATTTCTGAGGCAGTAAATCGCATGGGAGGAGATTGCCCAGCTTTCTGCCGAAGAGGTGCTAGTGGAGTTGAACTGCAGAGCCGTGGCCTTTGGGTGGCCAGAGCTTCTCCCTGCTGACCACAGCCCCCAGAGCTCCCTTCACTCTCTCTTAATGGGAGAGTGCTTTCCTTCTCTGAGGTGTTTTTGCCTTATCCAAGCTCCTGCTTTTGCAAGTTTCACTGTGTTGTCAATTAGATGCAAAAAGAGTATTTAAAAAAGTGTTTATGTTATAATTGCAAAAACATGTAACGAATCTGATTAGAAATATTTTAAATTATTTCACTAATAAGTACATTCTTTTTTTCCCTTCTGCAAAGAACTTTTGTTACATTTTCATAACCATTTAGTAGAAACACTTGTAAAAACTGGTTTTGAGTCAAATTGTCAATTGTTTTCTTTTCATTTTTGTCTAAAAACAATTTTTAGAGCCAAGAAATACAACAAATATTGTTCATCTATAACAATATTTGCAGCTTCTGTCAGTGTCCTTGCTTGTATTTGAGGGTGAATTGATATAAACTTTTGTTTCTTTAAGCAGCATTATGTTTAAAAATAAAATTTTAACTGTGTAAAAAAAAATTTAAAAAATTTTATTTTTATTGTGATTTTAATGAAGGTTTACAGAGAAGTTAGATTTTCATTAATTTACTGGTACACATTTTACCCCTTCCTCCTTCCTGTTTCCTTCCCCAGTTCACTTTTTTTACAAGTTATTCATTCACTATTTCACAATTATCACCCTCACCCCCATCATCACCCCCTACCCCCCAGCCCCGCCACCTCCCGAGTCCTCTTTGCAGTGATATACCTCTTATTCTGGGCTGTTGTACATATAATGCCTAATCATATATTCCTTTTAGATAGTACTTTTCTTCATCAGTTCCAATGTAGTGGTCACTATCCACTCTTATCCTATTCTCCTCCCAACCCTCCATGTTAGCCCTGCTTTATATCAGCGGTGCTATGCAGTATTTGTCCTTTTGTGACAGAGATATATTATTCAGCATGATGTGCTTTAGGGTCTCTAATTTTATGAAATGTTTTATGAGGTTTTTTTTTAGTGCTGTATAGTATTCCATTGTGTGACTATATCGTGTTTTTCCTATCCATTTGTTTGTTGATGTGCATTTGGGTTGCTGCCATCTCTTTGCTATTGCAAATAACACAGCAATAAACACAGGTGTGCATTAAATAGCATTTTTAACATTACCTAAAGTTGTATTTTTTCCATTAAATTTTTTATGAGTTATATTTTAGATTTAGTACAAGTTCCTTATAACATGATCGCCAAGCCTACTGGTCTCACAAAAATGGATGGAAGCACTGAGACTTAGTTTCCATGATGGCTCATAGTTCCCCTCCCCTTCTTTCCCCCTCTGGAAATGAACAGTTTCAATCAAACTGTTGTTGTTGCTAGTTGCCCTCGAGTTGAGCATGACTCATAGTGACCCTATGAACAGCAGATCTGAATCCTATTCTATCCTGTGCCATCTTCACAATCTCTGACATACTGGAGCCCATTGCTGCAGTCACTGTGTCAGTCCACCTGATTGAGGACCTTCCTCTCCTTCACCATCACCCCACCTTTCTGAGCCTGTAGACATGTCTATGAGGTGAACAATAAGGCCAGGAGGGTACTTACTCCTCAGAAAAACGAACCTTCCAAGATCAAAGGGGAACATTTGCTCAGGGATAAATATCAGAAAGCAGGAAGGGACAGGGAAGAAGGACTAAGGAGGCCTGCAATCAGTGTCATAAAACAAAATGCATGGCTAAATGGGAAGCCCATTTTCTTTGTAATCTCACTTAAGTAATGATAAACAAGTTTTAAAAAGTTACCCACAAAATGAGGTGAAAATTCAAATGCACAGGCATATTCATCTTATAGCTTAGATGCTAAGATGGTTATTTATCTTTAGACCTTAGCTAAACGGAAAGAACAGAAAAGCACAAAACTGCTAATCTAAAGAAGACATTTTAGTCATCTTTCATACTTACTTTATATTTTCCAAATAACGGATGCCTTCCCCCAGTTATTAACATATCATCTTCACGATCAAGAACAAGACGAATGGGGCGACCAGTTCTAAAACAAAAACAACAAAAATCCCAAACTTCATCTTCCATCCACCCATTCACCCTTCTGCCTACCTCTTCCCCTATTCATCCATCCTCACAGTTCACTGCCCATCCATCCACCATCTATCCTTCCACTCAGTTATTTACCCACCCATTTATCCAGGCATGCACCTAACCATCCACTTACCTACCACTCACTCATCTATCTACTATCCATCTCATATATGTTTTTTTTTTTATTCATATAATGTGTGATGGTTTGAATATAAATGGGACTAAATTGCTATTGCATTGTGGTGCATCCCTCAGGGTTTGGAGACCTAGCTAATGGGATTATTATAGGCTGGTTAACTGTTCCCCTTTTGTTCCAATGACCTTCACCAGTGTCAGGCATTGTGCAAATGTCCTTCACTTGACTACAAAGGAGAAAGAATGTAAGCAGCTTAAAGCAAATTTAACAACACAGCATTCACGGTAAGATCGCTGAATCACCGTCTTCATTTTACCCATGAATGTTACTCTATTGGCCAAGCTGATGAGGTGTCTTGGTCTTTTCTAGGGCAAAGTTCCTAGACTTTGGAGTGCAAAGGAATCAGCTGGAGCAAGGGTAAAAATGCAGTCCTAGGCCTCAGTCCTGAGATAGTGGGGTAGAAGCCTAGCATCTTCATTTCCCCTCAAGTTCCTGCAGTGATTCTGACACAGTTGTCTTCAAACTCATATTGAAAACCACTGCTCGTGGGTGGTTTTCCAGGTTTAACTTGGTCTCCTGTTATGAGGGGAACTTCCTGGTGTGCAAATTCCATGCACAGGCCCCTCTCCAAGAGATTCTGTTTCAATGGCTCTGTGGTGGGGAAAGACAGGGATGTCTAATCTCAGAACTTTCTTATTATTCAAGGTGGAGTTCACACATTGCTCTTGGGATTGTTAAGTGCATGGCAGTTGTATACAGATGGGACTCTATCTTAAGACTGATTTTCATGCTTGGTTGCACAGAGGACTCACTGGGGAAGTTTTGAAGTAGACCATCTAAGGGTGGTCTGAGTGCAGGGATTTAAACCATTCTGTTGGTATATGCCATGGAGTTGGAACAGAGTAATGGCTGACTCTTCAGTGGGTTGTGTTTTAATTTTTCCCCTCCCAGTGGGTTTTCTGAAGTTGTAAATAGCATGTGAGGAGATTGTCCATCTTTCTCCTGTGGAACAGCTGGAGGATTTGAACAGCTGGTGGATTCGTGCCTTTGGGTTGGCAGTGCGATTCCTTTCTCATTAGGCCACAAAACATCCTGGGTGATTCTGATTAAAGCCATGTCTAAGAAGTCTTAAAAGACACAAAAAAAGCACAGTGAAGTACTCAGCTGCTAAGTGAAAGGTTGGTGGTTTAAACCCAGTCAAGTGGGTTTGTGAGAGAAACACTTGAGAATCTGCTTCCGTAATGCTAATAGCTAAGAAGATTGAAGGGGCAATTCTCCTCTGTCACAGGGAACTGCCACGATCTGTGTGCGTCAGGGCCCAGCTCTGGACTACAAGTTTTTGAAGGAAACAGAGCCAGTGAACATGTGGGCTGACTGAGACTCTGACAAACTTGCAAAGAGACACAGGAAACAGGTTCTATCTCTCCTTGCTACCTGGTCCGAACAGACTCATATTAGACCTTCCATTGGGTTTCCAAGGCTGTATGTTACACAAGGAGACTGCCTCTCTTTCTGTCTTGGAGTTGCTGGTGAATTCGAACCTAGGGCTTGGAGGTTAGCAGCACTAGTCTCTGCAGACTAGGCCACTGGAGCTCTCAGTTATAAGAAACAATAGTTTGTGCTGACCAACTAAACCTGAGTGCGGAGGCATGCACATCAAAAGAAGGAGCCTCTGGCTAAGGCTTGCTGGCCAGCCTTTGTGGGTGAGTCATTCTTCCATTAAGGAGGGCTGGAGCGGCCAGCTGTTCTGAAGTGAAGGAGGGCAGCAGATGGGAGAACCACAGGGATACCCCACCATATCCTGAGGTGTAGGGTAGGAAAGAAAAGTGAGAAAGTCGGGTCTTTCTTCCACCACCACTGCATCTTCGAGTTTGACAGACTGTGATGGCTTGCATGTTGCTGTAGGCCTCACTGATATTTCAAATACCACTGTGTATTTCAAATACACAGGGTCCCCTATGGTGGGGAGATTTCAGTTAGCATTTCTAGACAAAGGGAGACTAGGAAGATAGGTCTGGAGATCTAGCCAATAGGAACCCTATGGATTGTTGTGCTGGGAGATGAGCCCCGAGGTTGGAATCTACTTAGAATACATAGTGGCTGAAACAATGAACTTGAACATCTCAGCAACTGTGAAGATAGTTCAAGACCAGGCTGCACTTTGTTCTGTTATATGAGGTTACCACGCGTCAAAGTGGACTCCACAGCAACTAACAGCAATTGTGGTGGCCTTCTTCTTAGTATTCCACTTATCCCCCACTCCACATGGATCTCCTTGCCTGGAGTTCAGGGATGGGGTCATAATACTAAAGCAGTAATTTGGATAATGATAACAACACTCTTGCTTTTTATAGCATATTAGCTTTTTCAAAGTCCTTCTTTGTACATCTGACTTTGGCAATAACTCTTAGGAGAGTGGGAGGGTAGGTATTAGCTACACTTTATAGGTCTAGAAAAAGAGATGGGAGGAGGAGTTGCCTAAGGACACACAGCTGGTTGTCACTGTACCCATGTGACTCTCAGGTCATAGATTCACCATCAGCCCAGTATCACTCTGTCTCATCAGTCCCTTTCCCCCCAAAGCACCTACTTCATAGCACCCACAGCCGCAATAGCCCCAAATACAGCTGGTCTTCCTGTCTTTCCTCCAAAACCCCCACCGACTCGTTTCACGTGACAGGTGATCCTGTTGATGGGGATGCTTAGCGTGGAGGACACAGTTTTCTGTAAAAGGGAGAACATGGGAAAATTTTCCAGGGACCAAATGGCAAAGGAGTTTTTGGTTTCTTGAAACATAACATCTTAATAGGAGAGCTCTGGTGGTCTAGTAGTAAGGAGCTGCAACTACAATCCCAGAGGCACACAGTTCGAATCCACCAGATGCTCTGCCGGAGAAGGAGGGACAATCTCCTCCTGTACCAGTCAGATCTGATTTGACGGTACACTCACATAAAAATAATAAAATTTAAAAAAAAAAAACCAACAAACCAAACATCTTAATAGAATTTGCTCATTTATACAGTTGCTAAAGGAAAAAAAAAATTGAGATTTTCTAAGATCTGTCTTTCATTGTTAACCTTTTACTGAATAACACTTCTAGTAGAAATTGTTAAAGATTGTCTCATGGCTTCCTGTCAGAAGGTAGATTCTCAGTCAAATGCTCATATCCAAGGCCCCAAGGAGGTGAAGGTAAAGATATGTAGGTGGCAAAACTTAGCCTATTTTGTGACTGTAAAGTGATGTGTTTATTGCAAGTTACCTATGATGATATATTGTAGTTGTTGAGTACCACTGAGTCAGAACCAACCCATAGCTGACCCTCCAGGGGGTTTTCAGAGGCAGGTAATTGCACAGGAGGAGACTGCCCATCCTTCTCCTGCAGAGCAGCTGGTGGCCTCAAACTATGTGCTTTTGGGATTGCAGCACAGCTTCTTGCCACTAGGCAAAGAGAGCTAAAGAATAATTTGCTGTTGTCACCCTACTACGGTTGCAATGAACTTGTCTTTCAACCTAAAATGACGATAGCTGTACTTTTATTTACTCAACGAGACCAGGGGCTGGGCAGGGGAGGTAATTGCTCTACTGACTTCCAGTACTTGGATCCCAAGTTTCTGTAGTTCAAATGGCTGCCGACTGTGAGACTGTGCAAATGAACTGCTACGCTGGAGGGTGGAAGCTGGGGATCTGGGAGCCTGGACCTCACCTGCACATGGGCTGGATCCTGAGTAGACACATAAACGTCCAGTTCTTTGTCCTCTGTCTTTGGAATGACAAGTACTCTTTGTGTCTCCATGTAAAAATGTTCCTGACCTCCAACGTGGACCTCCCCTGTTAAAAGCACAAGAACAGAAAGACTGCTGGGGGCGGGCACTTGTTGAGAGTCACTATTTTTGAGAAATCAGAAGCAAGTAAGACACAGACTGGTGAGTGGAATACAACATCTAAGGTTCTGTTTGAGCGATCACAGTTCTGATAACAAAAGTTTGTTCTTAACTAAGAACTATCTTTGTAATATGTCTTTTATTTACCTCATTGCTTTCTACTGCCTACACACACACACACACACACACACACACACACACACACACTGAAAATAGGTATAACTACAAATTGGCAAGATGTTAAGACTCTAGAGAATGGTCTCTCTGAGAGGAAACAACAATTTCTGTGAATATCTCTGGGAGATTACCTTTAACAATTTTTTAAAAAAGATACATATAATTTTATATTGGCTTGCATACAAAATTTGTATACATTATGTTTCACACACAACAACAACAACAACAAGAAGAAGAAGAACGAGAGAGCTCTGTTGGCCTAGTGGATGGAAAGTGATGCTATCAAGCCAAAGGTAGGTGATTTTAATCTGTGTCCCTCAGATTTTAATTGTTTTTGATCAAACATTCTTCTAAGTGGTATAGCACTGGTCTGTCCATTTGCTCTACAGAGGGAACCCATGGTTGCTATGATGCTAAACACTGTGACACTGATGTGTCAAAGGCAATAATGGTTACCCATGGTGGACAGTGTTTGGTGGAGCTCCCTGATTAAAACAAGCTTGGAAAAAATATAAACAAAACAAAACAAAAGCAAGCTTGGAAGCAGGAGTGGCATCCACTTCCAAAATAGCTTGCTTCTGAAAACTCTATGAATGTGGAGAAATGAAAGTTATAAAAGCGTTCAGGTCTTTCACTCATAGGTTCACTATGAGTCGTCTATGACTCAATGTCACTTAACAACAACAATGACATTTCACACATTCTTTCATTCACATTATATTTCATATGATCATTCCCATACATTGTGGGTTTTTAAAATATCTTTTTTTCATTGTTACACAATTCCCCCTTCCCTTCCCTCCCCCTGCCGTGGCCCACCTTGCAATGCACCCCTTCATACATTGTATTTTATAAAACCAATCAGCATTGTTGCCCACTATCACTCTATCTTACCTTCAACAATTTGATCAACTTTCCCAAATGCCTCTTCAATGTTTCCTTGCTCAAGTTTTTTTTCAGGGCAGAGGAATGAATTATGTTTTACAGCATCCTGAATGAAAGGGAAAGAAAAGCACAAAAGTGGATTCTTCTCAGTTTTTCTCTTCCACTGGCAGGTTTCAAAGGCCAATAAAATCCTGAAAATGTCTATTAAAACTCATGAAAGAGTTTTGCAAGCAAGTGCTAAAGTAGCAGCCTACCACTGAGATGGCATGCCAGAGAGGATTCTCCCAGATTTGCAGGAAAACCAGCAAAGATTAGGAAGAATTTAAGAAGGAAGCTGTTTTCAGAAGTGAGCCCTGGGGATTCTAATGGTTCAGGCTGAGAAGGATTCATTTAATCTTCCAGCATAGATACCCAGGAAACAGGAGATAGGTCTCGAAGCCCTGCAGTTCTCTCTGAAGATAGAGTTTACGGGAAAGGTCTTGAGCCCTTCAGTTTTGCTCATTCCTGGATAGTGTTAAACTAGTCAGGTAGGTTACATACAGGAGCCTCTAGCACAGAAGTCTGGAACAGCTGAAGTTGTTGTGCTGAGTGAAATATCTCAGTCACAAAAGGATAAACACTGCATAACACTGCTGTCATAAAATAGACATAATAAGGGGAATTGGGGCAGAACAGGAAAAGATTGGATAGAAAATGAATACTGTATTAGAACAGATGAGGGAAAGAAGTGCCCAAAAGGAATATATGATTAGGCCTTATATTTATGACAACAATCTGGAACAAGAGGTTAGTGCGTTGTGGGATGGGCTGGGGGAGAGGAAGAAAATGTACAACAATGGGAAAAAAAGAATAAAAAACATACACGTTCTTACGCATCTCTGATACGAGAAAGTTCATTGGACAATTTAGGAAGTTTGTTAGTTCTTTTTCTGGCATGTGGATATTTCACAAGGATCTTTCCAATCTTTTGTTTCTCCCTAGTGATAACATGAACCAATTCCACACATGAAGGCTAGAAGCCATTCTGCTCTGTGGTTCTGTGGATTCAACCTATTGACAGTTAATCTTTGCTTACTCTTTAAACTTCAAGTGCTTTTCCCTGACTTGAGAATGGGACTTATGCCTAGAATTCTTTGACTTCACCAACCTCAGATTGCATAGCCTTTCCTGCTCGTGATGATCACAAAAATGGTCAATAATGTGAGCAGTGAACTCTCTGAGTGCTTGCTTTAAGTCTAGTACTTCCCTCTGTGCTTTATGTTGGTTCTCACATTCTTTCTGCTATGATCTCCTTTTTCCAGATGGAAAAGCTGGATTTAGTGAGGTTAAAATGACTTTAACAATGTCATAAGATGAATAAATGACGGAGACAGCTTTCAAGTTTTGGCTTGGCTTTAGAAATGCTTTCCCTAATGAGGGGTGCTCTGGTGGACTAGTGGATGAGAAGGCGGACTGCCAACCCACAGAAGGTGGCTCAAATCTACCAGTTGCTCTGAGGGAAGAAGTTGGGAAATCTCTTCCCATGTAGTTTATAGCATGTGAAAACTCACTGGAGGGTCAGCTACAAGCAGTTCTGACTGAACAGCAATGAGGCTTTTTTACAGTTTCCCTAAATGAGTACATTATTTTCCAAAACAGCAGAAAATTATCAACATAGAATTACTGGTTTTCATTTTTTGCTACACCAACATTTCAATGATATCCAAACCTATATGTAAATTAGTTTCTTTTTATATTGCAAACTGTCATTAAGACAATGGAACCTTATTACAAAATGTGTTTATACTTAATGAGTGCTATGTACCAAGGAGTCCTTGTGGTGTAGCCGTTGTGTGTTGAGTTGCTAAATGAAAGGTCAATGGTTCAAGTCTACTAGGTGTTCTGCAAGAGAAAGTTGGACTGTCCCTTCTTGTAAAGATTTATAACCTCAGAAATTTGATGGAGGGCCATTATATATAAATTATATAATATATATTATATATAAATTTGATGGAGTTCAAATTTGACTTCAGTGATTTTAACTATGTCCCAATTTTCACTTTAAATGCTTTGCATTCATTTGATCTTATAACAACTTGATGAAGTTAATATTATTATCCCGATTTTACAGAGTAGAAAGCTATAGCACAAAGAAGTTAAGTAACTCGTCTAAAGTCCTGCTTTTAGGGTGGTACTTTTGTTGTTATGCTTTCTAAACATTTTACTATTCTAGGACTATACTTTTAACCAGCCCCTTTTACTGTTTCACCTATAATCATTTAAATGAACAAATCATTGATGTATATAACTGGTATCTGCTTTAGCTCCTATAATAATATTTTGCTGATATTTGCATCTGTCTCTTCAGTGAACCAAGACCCAGAACATTCTGTGGGTGTGTTTTCTGAACTACTCCTTGAGAATTGTCATATCTCCCCTGAAAAAGTAGAGTTAGAACTGAAATTAAAATCCAAGGAGGAGGAATATGCCAATAATGATGACTTCAACTTAGAGTAAGACTGGCAAATGAGACTTTGGAGTTGATGTTAACTTGGTTTAGACAGATAAAGAGATATGCCATTTCTGACATATTGAATATTGAGCAATTTATACCTAGTAGATGTATCTATCATTGAATTTTGGATGTAGTGGGTTGAATAATATTCCCCAAATTCTTGGTACTCATGAATGTGACCATATTTTGGGCTAGCATCTTTGTAGGTGTAACTAAGTGGTTGAATTAAGGATTTTAGAATGAGATCACCCTGGATTCAGGATAAGCCCTAAACCCAATTATCTCTTTGAGCAACTATTTTAAATATTTTATTCAATTCTCTTACTTCGACATTTCTTTCCTTTGACTTAGCTTCCTTATCACCTAAGGTAAATTTCAGTTTACTCTGATATCCATTTTGGTATTTTCTTATATTTTTAATGACCTTTTGTTTCCTTCATATATGATGTCTTTGGTATCATCCCACATTTTATCTGATCTTTGACCATTAGCATCCAATACATCAAATGTTTTCTTGAGAATGTTTTTAAATTCAGGTTAGATAAAATCAAGGTTATATTTGGGTTCTTGAGGACTTACAAAAAATTCTCTTCAGCTTTAGTTTGAATTTGCATATGAACAATTGACGGTCTATTGCACAGTCAGCCTGTGGCCTTGTTCTGACTGATGAAATTGAAGTTGTACCCATCTCTTCCTGCAGATGCAGTCAATTTGATCCTGTACTTTTCATCAGGTGAGGCCCATAAGTATAGCTGCCATTTAGTTTTTTTTTTTTAAATGTAGTAACAATGAGTGAATCATTAATTGTATAAATTCCTATCATGTTATCTTCAGTCTCATTATTGTCAAAGACATTTATACCAAGACCTTGTATTAGATAATCAAAAGAGAGTAACATGCTCAGCATTTCTTAAGCTAAAAGAACTGAAGAAAAAAAATAAACCTTGAGCTGTAATCCTAAAGGACTCTCTGGGAAAAAAAATATTGAATGACTCAGAAAGCATCAAAAGAAGATAGACGAAATATAGAGTCACTGAACCAAAAAGAATTGGTCAACATCTGACCATTTTATGGAATAGTGTGTATTAAATAAAAGTGTATGTATTCAGTAGTATTAAAAGAAGAAGTCTAAGTTTCACTGAAGGCATTGGCAATAAATAAGTATCCAGGCACCGACAGAATATCGATCGAGGCATTTTAGTAAACACATGTAGCCCTGGATGTACTCATTCATCTATGCTCGGAAATTTGGAAGACAGATACCCGGCCAACTAATTGGAAGAAGTTTGTATCTGTTCCTGTTCCAAACAAAGGTGATCTAATAGAATGTGGAAATTAGTGGATAATATCAATAATATACGTTCAAGTAAAATCTTGCTGAAGATTAATAAAACATGTCTGGAGCAGTGCATTGACAAAGAACTGCCCGAAATTCAAGCTGGATTCAGAAGAGGCCATTGGAACAAGAGATATAACTGCCAGTGACTGATGTATCATGACTGAAAGTGGAGAATACCAGAAAGATGTTCACTTTTGTTTTACTGACTATACAAAGACATTTAATTGTGTAAATTATAATAAGTTATGGATAGCACTGAGAAAAATTGGAATTTCAAAAAATGTAGTTGTGCTCATATGGAACCTGTTCATGAACGAAGAAGTTATTTCAATAGAATAAAGGGATAGTGCATGGTTTAAAATCAGAAAAAGTATGTGTCATTCAGGTTGTCCTTTCACTACACACATTCAAGATGTACATAATTCAATATGTAAAGAACAAATACCCAGGGACACTGTACTATATGAAGGAGAATATGACATCTTGGAAGGAGGCTCTTTAACAACCTGTATTATGAAGATGACACAAATTTGCTGAAATTAAGAATGGCTTGTAGCAATTCCTGAGGAAGAACAAAGCCTTTAGGATGATTTCAATTTCACCATCAAAAAACCTCAACTCTTCACAACTGAACCAATAGGAAACATAATGATAAACAGAGAAAAGATAGAAGCTGTCAAGGATATTATCTTACTTGGATCCACAATCAATACTCATGGACGTAATGGTCAAATAGTCAAAAGACATTGTGCATTGGGCAAACCTTCTGTCATGTACCTCTTTAAAAGGAATAAATGATTAGGTATTATACATACAACAAAAGCCCAGTATAAGAGGTACATTGCAAAGAGGGCTGGGGGTAGGGAGGGGGGAAGTAATTGTGCAACTGTGAACAAATATATATATATGAAGGAGAGAGGGTATAACATGCCACAATGAATGAACAAAAATCTAACTTTAATGAAATCTTTCATTAAAATCACAACTAAAAAGAAAAAAAAATTACTAAGAAAAATTAAAAAAACCTAGAGAATAAAAGAATCTGTTTAATAACTAAGGTGCACCTGACCCAAGTCACAGTATTTTCAATTGCTTCATATGCTTGTGAAAATCGGACAATGAATAAGGGAGACCAAAGAAGAATTAATGCCTTTCAATTGTGCTTTTGGTGAAAAGTATTGACTATACCCTGGACGTCAAAAGAACATACAAGTCTGTTTGGAATAAGTGCAGTCATGGTACTTCTTAGAGGGAAGGATGTGGGACTTGATCTTACAAACGTCGGACCTCTTGTCAGGTGGAGACATTCCCCGGAAAAGGACATCAAATTTGGCAAGGAGGTGGGTCAGGAAAAAAAAGGAAGATCTTTATGAAATGGGCTGACACAGTGACTGCACCAATGGGCTTAATCACAGCAGAGGTTGTGAGGATGGAACAGCATTGGGCCCTAGTGAATCATGAGCTGAAATATTTGGATTCATTTCTGTTTGTAATCTCTTATATAGAGAGGGTTGCTGTGAGCAGAAGTCAACTTGACAGTACCTCAAAGCAACACATAAATCTGATGACTGCTGTCTTTAAAAGAAGAAGGGGTGGGAGATTGGAAACACAAAGATAGATGGTATGAGAGAAACCACAGAGGGGACGTGGGTCTGCCAATTTCAAACATCTGGCCTCCAGAACTAGGATACGTTTCTGTGGCTTTAAGTGGTAACTTGTTATGGCAGCCCTAGGAAATGAGTACAAATATTTTAACTCATGGCTCACTAGGACTTTTGAATGATTTTATTGTCTTCACAAACAAATAAACTTTTCTCATTGAATCAGAACCTGTAAATTCTAGTCCCTGTCTGATTTTTCTTTGAAATACTATCTTGCATTTCATCCTCCAAAGCCGGAGACGACAGTGAATATTTATGTGGAACTCTACTCTGAAAAAGTCCCATTTTCTGGTAGCCTCTACCTTGTAAGCATTCTTTCCTCTAATATTTATTTTCATGATCTTTTTTGAGTAACTTGTTTTTTTAGGTGCTATTACATTTATTGACAAGCTGTAACAACCTCATATGAAAATCCAGACTTGCCTCACAGTGTTTTCTAGGTGAATCCCCTTTCTCTGATGGTCATCAAGTCAGAACTGACCCCTAGCTGACCCTCCAAGGCTCTAAATCCCACAGGAGGAGGATGCTCGTCTTCCTCCTGTGAAGCTGCTGGTGGATTTTAATTAGCAGAGTCACGGCCTTTGTGTTGGAAGCCAAACTCCCTCAATATTCTGCCACCTGAACCCTGAAATAGACTTGCACAAACATATTTACCAGGTGTGTTTGCTTCTAGAACCTTGAGGCAAGGCAGGCAGCCCTGCTTACCTCAATAGAGAAGATCACAGGCTCCAGGTCTTTGTAGGTGATCTTTATCTTCTCAACTGCCCTCTTCACCTGCACCTCTGTCTCTGCCACCACAGCACAGACAATCTGGCCCACACATAGTACCTGTGGAAGGTACACACAGGGAACAGGTAGAGAATTCTGAATGGGAACAGGCTGAGTCTAAATGTAAAAATATCAGTGGAGCTCTGGTGGCCTAGTGGCAGGAAGCTGAACTGCAAATCCCAGAGGTGTGCGGTTCAAATCCACCAGATGCTCTTTTGGAGAAGGCAGGACAATCTCCTCTTGTACCAGTCAGATCTAATTTGACGATACACACAGAAAAATAATAAAATAAAATAAATGAAAAAAAAAAAGAAAAAATATCTGGTGTTTCAGTTGCGAGCATTGTAAAACAATCATAACCACACTCCACTATATGTGCTTGGCTAAGAGAATGTATAATGAAACATAATATAGGCAGTTGCATTGGTTATTTTATTTGATGAATGTTAGGCCTCGTGTGAGTGTGAAAGCCATCCAGAGATGACTTAGAAGCAGGCATCTGTGGCCTGGATTTACTGTGACTTCTGTTTGATTTAGCTGCCAGGTATCACCCTGCTGGTATCATTTAGTTAAATGCAAGGAAAAGATTCTTTGTACAGAATGCCTTTCAGAAGACAGACAGCCAATTATCTGTAGTTCAACTAAAAGGTCAGTGAAACAGTCTGTGTAGGACTAACAAGAGTAGCTAACCTTCTTGAGAGTTTTCACACACTAAGCCACTGTTCTAAGACCTTCTAGATACTCACTTATTTAAATCCCACAGTAGGTCAATAAGGTGGGTGCTGTGGTTTGTCCATAGTACAATGATGAAACCCCTAGTGAATCGTAGACCTGGACCCTGAACTTAGGAAGTGCTCAACGAATGATTGCTGAGTTGAATGAAAAGATATAAAATGGCAAGCGCAACCTTGTTAAAAGTGAGGGCATGTGGTGCGGGAGGTGGAGGAGTGGCCCAGGAAAAGAGAGGCCTCAGAGTACATAGAGGTTGTGGCTGTGGTTTTTTTTTTTTTTTTTTTCTTTCTGGATCCTTTTGATAGAGATCATTCTTGCCTTTAGTCTGCAGATGTGGCACAACTAAGATGCTGGACGTTGTTGTAGGGAGTTTCCTTTTACTATCTTATTTTCTGACTCTGGAAGATGACAGGGATAGAGAAAAGCTGGAAACTCCTACCCTCTCACAACAGACACAGTTGGGAAACAACAGAAAGCCAGAGTAGACAGTCCTAGGTGATTATGTGCAAAGTCTCCTGAGAAGAAATATTCTATACCTTATCTACAGCCAACAGTTTGTCATCTTCGGCACCATTGGTGCCTGGAATGTCCTCTGCTGTTATCACATCTACTACTCCTGGTAGTTCTAGAGCTTCAGACGAATCAATTGATCTGAGCAAAGAGAAAATATTTAAGAAGCAGAAATCAGTAAGCTTTAATATGAAGTGAAAGGAAAGAAAAAGGGAATTGTTGAAAATCAAAATACATAACCACTGATGCAACTTGAGATTCCTGAGTGATGCAATGATCTGCACACTCCCACTCAAAAGGTTGTTGTTGTTATGTGCCACTGAGTTCACTGTGACTCATAGTGACCCTTTGAACAACAGGTCTGAACCTGGCCCTTTCCTTTGTCGTCCTCATTAACTCTGATAAGCTTACTATAATCAACTGTGTCTATCCTTCTTGTTAAAGGCTTTCCTCTTCAATGTGAGCCTCTACTTGTTTTTCCAAGCATGAGGTCCTCTCCAAGGACTGGCCCCTCCTAATAACAAACCTCAAAAGGTTAACAGTTCAAATCCACCCAGAAATGCCTGAGGCCCACTGATCAAAATAGACATACTATGTTTGGCATGAGGGCAAGGAGTTGCCCTGCGGGGTCAGGTGGTGACACTAGCTATAGGAGGTTCCAGAGGATGCTAAGTGTGGCTATTGTAAAGGGTGCTTGGGCAAACTTAGTATAGAGGTCACTTATCAACTGGTATTGAAGTAGATTTTTCAATGTTTTAATAGCAGCTGAATATCAGTCCTACTTCACAGTTCTCAAGTCAGGCCTCTGACATTGCAGTTAGGAAAACGAGCTTTAAGACTTAGGATGGAAGCCAGGAGCCTGTCACTATGATTTCTATCCTCTCTCAATCTCAAGATGGTCATCCTGGATACTTTGCTGACCTTTTCTTTGTTTTTTCCATTTTAAGTTCTTTAGGTTTTAGGTTTAGGCTAGTAAATGAGCATATTCCTCAGAGGGAATCCACAGGTGTGCTTTTTTTTTTTTTTTTTAAAAAAAAAGGAGTTTTAAAACCTTTTGATTTACTTACATGATTTTTGCATGAGCCCTGGTACTGGTCACCAAAGCCATGGCCAGTTCTTTATCCACGACAGGAATGTCATCACAGAATATGGCTTCCCCTGTGGCATGTTTGAGACCTGACAGGTGCATGATGGGGCGTCCAACAGGATCCAGGGGAGGCTGGTGAGAATCCACACACTACAGAAGAAGACAAGCTTTGCTCTAGAAATCTTTAACCTCAGAAGTGGCCTGGCTAATGACTACCACTCCATTCAGGTTTGAGAAATCAGTCACAGTTAAGCAACAGGATCTGGAGCAAGTTAGATGATAAAAGTGGCAGTTTAGTGACATGAATGGAGGATTGCCATTCCAGTTATGTGGCAATACCTTAGACTAGGTCAGCCTTTTGGCAAAATTGTTGAGTAGGTGAAAGGGCACACAACATTCCTTTTCTGACATCTTTTTCCAGGTGATGCCTCTATACCCCCTTTCCCTGGAATTCAGGGGCTCTCCCTGCCTGCTTTCTCACCTTTCTAAGGATAAACTTGTTCACACATAAGGAGATCATGGCAATGAAGCCTAAAGAGATGTAATTCACGAGTGCAGAAGGCTAAAATTTAAGCAAAGAGCCTAAGTAAGGATTGAACAGGGGCTCTGAGGTCAACGGGAAGGAAAAGTAGATGGCAATAAAGCCCACGCAGATCTGGACTAAAGGAACTTGGCTCCCTAGAAGATGCTACAAAAATATCACTGGAAGTATAAGGAGACAAAGAAGTTGTTTATTCTAGAACTTTCCTCAGGGAATGTCTTCTATGTGTGGGTGATGTTGCCTTTGGAAGAGAGAGGAGCAGTTGGTCTCAAAAGCACACAATTTCTTGCCTTTCAAGGCTGAGGGAGGTCAGTTACTTGTGGGGCTCTTGTTTTGCTGACTGGAGACTAAAAATTTGAAATAAAAACTGGAGGTCGAGGTTTGTTACTCTCCTGCTCTGTTCCTTCTCTCATACTGAGCTCAACCATTCTGAGTTAATAGCAAACAAATGCCCAGATGATATCAATTTGAGAGTAGATGAATCAGATTATTAGACTGCTCCAGGACAGGTTGGCCTTGGGCAATGGACTGCAGCACCACCTGATCTGAGATTCCTGCATCTCCCTCATGCCGCCAGAACAAAGAGCCAAGTGCTGGCAATGGCTAGAACGTCAGAACGAACACAGCTCTGATGAGCAAAGAGCTCGCTGGCTTGGCACAGTTACCGTTTGTCTTTAACGTCTAAGCTCCAGTTCAGTTAAACTCACTGACCTGGTATGTCTGGACTCCCTGTGGTAAGTTGATGGAGAAGTCTTCTAGAACACTTAGGAATCGGTCTGCAACTTCAGGGTAATGGCAGCTGTCCTGATAGGTGATACAAAAGAAGAAAGAAGCCTGGTTAGTCTAGAAGTTCTGGTGGCGTAGTCCGTAGGGAGTTTTGGTGCTGACCCAAAGCCCAAAGGTGGTTCTTCTCTGGTGGTTTGAAGCCACCAGCTGCCCATCGGAAGGAAGATGGACAATCTCATCTCGTTTGAGTTACAGTCTCCAAAAACTCACTGGAGGGTCAGCGATGAGTCAGTTCCGGCTTGACAGCAATGAGTGAATGAATGGTTAGTTGATGATTAAGGTGGGCTTGAATGGATGGGACAACTATTTGGCTAATAGATCCATGAGTCCAGGGGTAGTGCAGATGGTTGATGTGTTCACTGTTAATTGAAAGATTGGTAGTTTGAGTTTACCTGGAGGCCCCTGGGAGAAAGGCCTGGTGATCTGCTTCTGAAAAACACTGCCACGGGAACCCTGTGGTCCACACAGACATGAATAGGTCATCTTGACACAAAAACAACTTGACAGCAACTATAATTTTCCTCCCTCAATCCTGTGAAACTGCCAGGTCAGGGTAGCCTGGTAAACCAAAATCCACACTCCTGTCCCAGATTTTAGTTTTCACTCTCCCCCACCCTTGACCACATCATGAAGAATTTGACTGACTGCCTTGAATCTCATCTGAGGCCCACAGGTGAAGGAAGAGAAACAAGAAACTGGCTGGTTAAAATGTAAGGGAATGAGCAGGAATTCACAACACACAAAAGAGACTAAATCCTGTTTTTCTCAGGAGCTAGCTTTTTTGGAAAAACAGCAAAACCAGGAAGACTTATCATGAAAAAAAGAAAAAAAACCCAAACCCAACAAAACAGGAAGGCTGCTCGAGGTGTTGCTGCTATGCTTTATGGGACTTGATAGAGGAATTCAATGGCTGCAGTAGTTGAGCTGGTGGATGCTGTTGGTGAAGGTCCTCATGTGAGTCAATGAGAATCAGACACTTGAGGAAGTGTGGACACTTGCGTCAGGTATGAGTAAGGAACAGGGACCAGAAGGTAGAGAAAGAGTTGTCATCAGAGTTGGGGAGGTGTGCTTCCTAGACTCAGGAAAGTCATTCGGGAGATGGAAATGACCAGAAATCAGTGCTTTCAGAATGAGACTATGCAAACATTCCCACAGAGAAGCCAGGCCAGGAATATCTGACTATAGATAGTGAGTGACAGAATGAAAGAGAGATAAAGAATGACTGGCTTTGCTTAACTTATTTTAGGAGTTTGCAATCAAAAAATCTAGAAACAATGTTGTTGTTGTTGTTGTTGATTGCCTTCAAATCAAGCACGACTTATAGCACCCAAGAAAACAAACAGATTCATCGTAGAGAGGATTAAACCAGGCTGCTCCTTGGAGGCAAGGATTCTGGGGCTT